TGGTCGCCCTTGGCGCGCACCTTGCGCTTAGCGCCGTTGGCGCCCGGGGGCGCGTCGTCCCTGAAGGCGCCGTTCTCGATGCCGTTGCACTCGGGCGCGGGGCGCAGCGCCTCGGACTCCGCCAGGCACGTGTCGGTTTCCGCGTCGTAGTAGCGAAAGCACAGCAGCTGTTCGCAGTCTGCGAACGCAAAAAGTGAGTTTCTCGGGAAATGGGGGCGCCATCGGGGCACTTACCGGGCGCGTCCAGTAGCCACATGGCGCTGCGCTCGGCCCCTTTCACTGGTTGCCGGGCGACGCATTCACTCGCACTGGCGCTGCCTGCAAGCGCAAAACAAAAGCGGATCAGTGACGTAGCCGCCAGCCGCATTCCTACGCTAATTGACATCCTTCCGGTCATTCCGATGCATATGAGGCTGGACCGGATGTGCGCCTTCGCGCCCAATCCGGCATCAAGGCCCCCGCCGATTACCTTCAAGCTTGTCCTGCGGTTGCCCTAGAAACACTGAACAAACAAACAAGCGCACGCCCACTACGACTGCACATTTACTACTACTGCGGCTGGCATGAATGAATCCAGATGCGGCAGCGGGGGGTTCATTCATAACTTTCCGGCCCACTATGATCGGAGACACGCGCCGATAGACTTGGCAACGTCTGGTTCCGGTCTCCTCGGCCCCCCCCTAGTCGAATGTGCAAACGTGATCCTGCTATTAAGCAGCATCGATTGGGGAGTTTTTTGAATGGGAATGGGGAAGTCGCACTGGTGGAGCAAAAGGGGGCAACTTACCGAGAGGGCAGAGGGCGACAAAGTCGCCCTCCTTGCCGTCGCCCGCTTGCCATTGGAGCTGCCAGCCGCCCTCGGGGGTGCGGGTGGCGCTCAGCCAACAGCCCAGGGCCCCTTCCATAGTGGGCGACGCCTGCAGGGGGGCGGTCCCCCCATGCGCGCACTGGCGCCCCTTGGAGCCCCCGCGGGGGTGATTGACGCGGCGCAGCCCCAAACAGGGCCGAAACGGGGCGCTGCACACAAACACAACAACACTCCGATGACAGCTGTTTGCGCGCTTTTGACACTTGGCCCGGTCGACTGAGTTGCCAGTTTTCTCTGATTGCTAGTGGCCAATGTTGCGCCAACCCTGCCAATGCTCTCAGTAGAGTAGTCTATGCAGTGATGCCCTGCTAGGGAGTTTTTCCCTAGTTCTACCGATTTCTCAGGCAGGAAACGGGATTTGTGAAAAGCATCTAGAATTTTTTTAAATTTTTCGTTTATTGTCGATATAAATATGAAAATAAGTAACAATACAACTTGACGCAAAATTATGAGATGCATTTTTTCAAGAAAGGAAGTTGGCAGGTCGACGCCTTTTGGAGAGTTTATGGGATTTTTTCTTTCGAAATTGTGGTGCCCGCTGCGCCCTGTTGCCACACATCAGCTAGCCGCGTCCTCAACAAGTAGCTAACCTCTAAACCTTGTCAACACAACCTTTGTTTTTGTCAATAATCAAAACAGTCCGGGTGTGCGTAGCGTGATGAGTGCAGCCCTAGTGCGCCAAGCGTTGGGCCTGGTCGATCGTGACAGTGACACTTTAGGCGCCCCCTCTTCCAAGCGGCAGCCCCTTTCAGGCGTCTCCAAGTCCCGTAGGAAGCGCAAACAGGCCCGTTTCACTGTGGAGGAGGCGCGAGGCGCCTCCCAGCCCCCCAAGGACGTGCTGCAGACCAATCTACGCAAGCTGGAGCTGATCAAGAAGCACAGTCGAGTGGTGCTGAACGAACGAGCCACCAAGAACGTAAGTAGTGCTGTTAGTTAGTGCTGGAACCCTGTAGACTGACCAGTGCCGGTTGCAGATAATCGAGCGCGCGGTGAGCCGGAGGCCCCTTTCGACGCCCCCAGTAGACCCGCGGGACGGCGCCACCGCCTTCACTGAGGAGGACTTCCAGAAGTTCGAAGCCGAGTACATGCAGGAGGACTGATGGCGCTCCGCCATCGCACGCTGGGGCTGCTCTGGTTGACCGTCAGCTGCACCCTTTTAGCGTATCTTCTCCTGGCGCTGATGCTGCCGCAGGCCCCGGGCGGGGCCCGCTGGGCCCCGCCAGGGCTCCTCATGCAGGCCTGCGGCGCTTTCGGACTGCTCCTGGTGGGGGGGCTCGCCCTCTTCACCACCCAGATGTTAGTGGGAGGCACTCAATAAATTAGTTTTCAAAAAATCAAGTTTATTTCTAGAAATAGGGACCGTGCAGGGTGCCGGCGCCCCGATTGGGGCCCGCCCACCAGGCCATGTGGCGGCTGTACTGGACGCTGCGCTCCGCGGGCACAAAAGCGCGCCCTCTAGTGCCGCGCGCCATCCGCGACGACGCCAAAATCTCCCTGCTCAGCTTGTTGTAACCTGCAAAGGGGCGTGTCAGTGACAGGGGCGTGGCCAGGGCGACCGCCTACCTGTCGGGCCAGTGGGCTGCGCCCCGCACGTTTCCAGGGCGACGAAGTCGTCGACGTGCAGCGACGGCGGGCGCGACGTGTTTGGGGGGCGGGACCGGAACAGGTCTGGGCGCTGGGGGGCGGTGCGGGGGAACCCCCGTGGGCGCATCGGCGTAACTAAACCAAAATGGGCGTTCTGAGAGTGAAGCAAGCGGCAAAACGGGAACTTACTGAAGGGCTTGCGCGCCCGGTTGCGCTCCTCCTCGGCGTGCTTGGCCGCCTTGTCGCTGGGGGGCGGGTCGGTGCGCGAGATGCGGCACAGCTTCTCCACGCCCTTGATCAGGTTGTACTCGGGCGGCAACTGGCGGCAGATTTCGAACAAG